AACACGGACCTCCAAAACATCAGAGGTGGGATCAGGTGCCATGGAAGAGTGAGCATCCCCTGCCAACCGGTCACACCCGCCGTGTGCTCCTTGTCATGATAAGGAAGACTGGAAAATCAGTTGACATTCAGAGTGTTAATTATGACTTAACAATTAGTATGAAAAACGTCAGTCAGCAGTTGACTTAATGATAGATTGTATGTATGACAAGGTCATTGTATCGACCAAAGAACTTGCGAAATGGTGACTTCAATCGAGACTGTTCAATATTGATATTCTATTTTCATTAACTTGTTTGTCAATAGCTTGCCTCGTTTTAGAAATTGTTCATAGGTAGAGCATGCTCTTGCGTATCGAATCAACTGGGAGACAAAAACCCCATATGCAGGTGATAAGGGTATATTGCTACATAAGTAAAGAAAGCTGACGATTAAAAAATAGAAGCCATCACGTTTTTCATAAATCTTGATTGTTACATGTAGGTTACCATTTACGTCTTTTTCTCGTGAAATAAATAAGGAAAGTTTATGATGGAAAAGTTGAAGTCATCTCGTTTATCATACTATTTAGATACCATTACTATTGACGGTCCTTTCTTTGGATGTAGGTAGGTGTATTATTGGATCTCTCCAATAAAGAGTACAGCTTCCTCTCCGATTCTATATTTTATCATTGATAGAAATATAACTTTCTATAACGTTTTGGGATATAAAAAGTGCATTCATATTTCGGCACCATTCACACAAGCTTATCATACCTTCTTTGTCAAAATGTTTAATTTTAGTAGAATTTTTGACATTTATCGCGTGATTTCTTTCAAACATCTGTAAGGAAATAACGCATCCATTTAACAGAAATATTTTTTTAGATTCATCTCCTTTTTACACTGATGTGGTGATGAAATATTTAGATTCTATACCTAATAGACAATAGTCTATAAACTGTTTATGAAGTGAATGGGGAGATGTGTTTCGGTCTCTTTGGCAGAATTCTTTGTGACCTAATTAATGAATACCTTAAAGAATTTGATTTGAGGTAAATAAAATACAAAGAAATATTTTTCATTAAAATCCTGAACATATAATTACACTTCAAATATAAAGGCAAAGTAGGGAAACGTACCATAATTTGCTTAACAATGTGCACCCCGAAATTTACATATGAACGAAAGAACAGTACACAAATCATTTTTCGGTAAATTTACTGAGTCCTCTACAGTCTATTATGTAAATTTCTTCGGTAACTCTGTAATGTGAGACACTACTTTATAAATAATATTTTTGCAAAGTAACATTGCGTCTCATAGTAATCATTCAAATTACATGAGTGTTTTTGAATGAACATTGCATCTCATAATAATAAATGGAATTGCATGATTGTAAGTGTTTGTGAAGTAACATTGCGTCTTATGACAAACATTCAAATTGCATATTGATCAATTCAACCAGAGAGGATACCTTTTGCCATTTAAGACGAGGTTTACTGGTCCATAATCCCAGAGGATGAAAAACAAATATACAGACGTTTTGAAAAGGAATTTAGATCAATTGCATTAAATTATGTTTATTGTCAATTTTAAAATCATGATCATACATATGTAACATGCATATTGATTTTGTTGACATACAACGGATATCGCATTCATCTTACCTGAAAGAAATGCATTGCTGAATCCTTTGTTTAAAAAAAATAGATCTTACCTAAAGAAATCTATCTCTATAGATTGACATTGTATCACTATAACGAAAACGAAAATCCAGAAAATTAAATTATTAAGGTCATTTTCAACTGTTCGATGACTTTCAAGGTGATAATTTCTTTAAAAACTTAAAGTGTTGCTCGCTCTGCTGATAAACAAGAATGCAGAATTTCGAAATAACATTGATGACATCTTTTAGAGGATATAGTTACAAACAAAGCACATTCATGGATGGGTTACACAACAGGTGTAGGTTTGTGTCTACTTTCTTTTTTAAAGCGCAGATTGATTTCCCGTACGGTTCACAACACCATGATTTTGGATATGTCCGTAGGAAAAAGAAAGGCCATCCATTTAACCTGGATATTGTTTAAAATTTAGCACAAGTTTGAAAGTCATGGAGTACACCGTTATCGGACTATACCCTGATAATGTCGACACACAAAGCGTATCAGGTAAGAATTGTTACAATTTGATGTCGATTGGATCATAAGATTTTCGCAATTAAAATAAATCCTCACTTAATTAGAACCAGTTACTGTGTTGTTTACAACATGTCTCCTTGTCTTCTTATTCAATAACTAAAAATAATGGAGATATAACTATGTACTTAGTTACTTTATTTAATACCCAGGAGCAGAGAAGAAGATTTTCAAAGATATAATGCACTTTCACTATATGGTCTATATAGCCCTACCCTGGGGCCAGAACCTCTGACCATGGGGCCATGAATTTCACAATTTTGGTAGAGGGCTCAATGTTTATTACAATGATGCCAACAGTTTAACTGCTTGATGTCCAGGAGTAAAGAAGAAAATTTTTATAGATTGCATTATTTTTGGTGGTTTTAGCCCCACCACTCAGGCCCCATGGGGGCAGGGACCATGAAATTCACAATTTTTGTTTCCCTTCACCCATAAATGCTATATGCCAAATTTGGTTGAAATTGGTTGAGCGGTTTCAGAGAAGACGCTAAAAATGTTCAAATGTTAACACATGACGCACGCCGACGGACGAGAACGGATAGCAATAGGTCACTTGAGTGACTCAGGTGACCTAATAGAATTCAATCCTTGCATGACCTTCTATCTAATTCAATTTATCAATTTATTGACATCACCATGTTGGTATACAGTCAAAATAAGAAATCAAATGACAGTCAACAGAAAAAAGAAGAATTTTAAAGAGATCCGACACATAAGTCATACAGTGTTGTTGGTTTTCTAGTGCTCCCTCTCTCTCTCTTTGAATTTTGTCCGTTTGTATCGTATATATTTTAGATTTATTTTAAATAATTTATAATTTTTATATTTATTCTTATATTGTTATTTTGTTTCAATTTGTATTGTATGTTTATTATTTATTTATTTGTTTTTGTTTTCGATTACAAATTTATTTGTATGCAGAAATTAAAATTAATCAAATTAGAAAAATATACAATAGAAATTAAAAAGTAAAGAGTACAAGCATTTAAGAATATAAATAGAATAAACACATAATATAATATTTAATACAAATATAAAATTATAGAATACAAATAAAACTTGTACAAAACAAATGATCAAATAAACTGTACAAATTGTAAATTATAGAACACAAATATACTGCAACTTTTGACGAGCCCTAAATTTAACGAATCTGACAATTCATGACAAACCTTAACCGATTCGAGCCTATAAGACACTTCTCATATTTTTTGTGAAAAATACCTTGATATCAGAACAAATTGGAGTTTCATAATGAATAATCGGCAAAATGAAGGATGTTGTGCTAATCTCAAATGGAATAATGTTTCTGATATAATAATAATAATGGAAAATTAACTGCTTGTAATTAAGCTGACACAGTGGTGTATATTTTGCAGTAAAATAAATCATTAATTGAGCTTGCATGAGTATGTCCTCTACTACATGTACATGTATATCAAACATTCATGTCCCAATCATATAACTTTTCAAAATAATATTTTCAAACCGACTTCAAGTTATTCCATCTCTGATCTCTCATGAGCGTTACTGTGAAATATTCATAAATAACATTCTTTTTAACAGAGGTATATGAAATCACATATATCTTACCCTACCTTAAACTGTTAAAACGACATTACAACTAAGTAAATACAGAAATTGTCTTTCTCTTTGAGCTTCATGGTATTACCGTTCATTATTATTCAATTTTATAAACTCTCCAAACTTTAATTACATTCAAACTTTAATTACATAAAATTTTGTTCTCTGGCAGGTTCGTAAGGTGTTAATGATAATAAAAAAAAAATACTGTTGTTTAATAAAAATCTTTACACTTATAATTGAAATCTTAAGCCAATTACAATATAAAGGCTAAATTATGAAAAAGAATTCTATGATAACGGATTTCCACATATGCTACGCAATTTCCCTATTCTTTAGATTTACATGAATATATTTTTAAAATTAACTATTAAGTTCAACTTTTCTTTGGAACAGATGAAACTGTGCAGAAGAGAATAAAAGCATTGATGATTTTGCGCATACTATCAAGTGCTACGCTTATAGTTTCCTTTTGTAATGCTATAGTGGGAATTGTAATAATCGATAACAGAGGAAACATGGAGATTCCTCTCACTTCCGGAGCTCCAATATGGTCAGGATTACTGGTAATTTTTTTTTTTTTTTTTTTTTTTTTTTTTTTTTTTTTTTTTACACATTTTTACATATTTTGAATGTTATTCCAAACAGCACTATGTATAGATATAGTAGTGTGATTAGCCTTGATTTTTTGCATATGACAGGAAGAGAAAATAATTTATTTTTTTTAAATCAAATACCCGATAAATACTGTTTTCATCTTTGCAGGTATTTAAATTATAGATTTGAATTTAACTTGTATAAAACTTTTTTCTTAATTTGTTAGTTTTAGTTTGTAATCCTATGTATTGGATTATAAATGTTGATTCTTTTATAGCAGCGCAAAAAAATTGTAATTTACTCTCTGTTTTTGCTCTGGTATCGTATATATTTGCAAATAAAGATACATCTTTTTGTTAAGACCTATTGGTTACTCACCCTGTTTGAAATTATGGAATCAGAGCTACCAATTGAACATAGGTTTGATATGAGGGTTATTGTCAAACCCAATTAAGTGTATTAACCTACATATAATTCACTTTTTTCACTATCTATCTGTCTAACACCATCTTTATTAGATGCTATAATTTATTTATAAAATAAATTCATTCGCTTTATTCTCCATCCTGATTTGAATGTGAGAGATTTTGTCATTAAAAATATAATTCCAGGTCCTCGTCTGCAGCCTCCATGGTCTCAAAGTCTCCTGGATAGAAGTAGATTACGATGTACCTCCCCCTCGTGCTTCTTTCCATGTGAGTATCATTTAAAAAAAGTATTCACTTTTTGTCATTTTTAGCTCTTTGGGTGAAATACCGAGATCACAAGAGCTCATGCATTGGTCTTGTGTCTGCGGTTTCTTTTGTTTGTTACTTTGTCTTTACTGATAACATTTTAAAAAAAGATATTCATCCTGCAATTATGGTACGATTTTAAGAAAATGTTGTTAATTTGTAAACAGTATCAACATACAAAATTTTCGGCACTGGACTTTGAATTTTGTCATGTTAACTAACATATAATATTTCATAAAATTCTTTCAAAATGCAGCTATTGATACAGTTTTTTAGCTTATTTAACAAATCAATACATGTGTAGTTAAATCAAGATACATAATGTTATCAGTTTTTTGATTTCAAAGGAAGATGCTTGTAGTTATATTTTTAAAATTTTAATCGCTTGATTGATTAAAATAGAACTTATTTTCATTGAAAATATTCTTATTTGTTCACTCCTTGGTAGCTCTAATTTTACAGCTGTTTTAAGTCATGGTAGGATAAAACTGACACGATTATTTTCGAACATGTTAAAATGGATATTTTTTCTTAGTATTCCGGATTATATCATCAAGAACCATTTAAATGGATTGAAATTTTATTTCCAAGTTAATACATACTGTTTGAATATGTTCGAACACAGGTGACTATAATTTCTATGCTTGTGAATTCGGATTTAGAATCCGATGCAAAATAAGACATTTATTATTTTTTAGTTGATGATATGACTTAAATTTTATTAATTAGTTAAAAATAATGCCCTAAAAAATTACTCACAACAAACTGGTGGAACTCCGCAGAGGGGCCAAAATTCACGGACTAGAAATCGGCAAAACCTTATCCTAGACCATGATTCTTGTCCCCTCTGTGGAATTTCATTATCCAACACTCGTAGTAATGAATGATTCTATTAATATTCTATTAATATTCACCATCATTATCATGCCAAGTATGGGCCTATCATTAATGCATAAATCAATTACAGTTTTTATAAACAGACATATAAGCTAATACCTTTTTTTTTATATACTTTTGTCAGATGAAGGCTTACCATAATTTAAACCGAGTGAGCATTTTAACAAGCCTTGCATGCATTGCCTTTTCTGTTGTCTACGTTTTATACTGTGGTCGAGATTCCCATAATCCTGATTCTTGTCCACCCAATGAAAGAGAGGAAATGATATCAAACATTTTGGCGATGTTAATCTCCTTCATCATGATAATTTGTAGCATCATGGGGATTATTCTTTTTCAAATAAATAGCAAAGTATTAGGACTTAAAAATCTATTGGAAAGGGTCTCTGAAGAGAATCGTAATGCCAGTCAAGAGCAAACGGAATACACAACTCGCAGCAATAGACTTGAAGGTCTAGAACTTCAGACACAAATAATTACAGACATCGAAAACAGGATTACAGAGTTTGAAAATATTTCTCATTCACAGAGACTTGGACCCCAGCGTTATAACAGTAATTTTCTCGATCCAAATGCACCACCGCCGTATGAGCGTAATTCTTCCGATCCAACTGAATTTGAATATAGGAATACAGAATTTCAAAATAATTCACATCCTCAGAGATTTGGACTTCCACCGTATGATAACAATGATTCCGATCTAACTGAAATTAGTCATGGGACTACAGAAATGGAAATTAATTCACATCCTCAAAGACTTGAACCACCGCCGTATGATTCTAGTTTACCCGATCCTATGTCTACACCACCCCCTTATGAATGCAATCCATCCGATACGACGGAAATTGACTATAGGAATACAGGATTTCAGAATAATTCAAATCTTCAAAGATTGGGATTACCGTCGTATGACGATGTTTCTGATTCAACTGAAATTGGTTCTAGGACTACTGAATTTGAAAATTATTCACATCATCAGAATTTTGCTACACCTGTGGATTATAATTCTATTGATCTAACTGAGCCACCACCAACATATGAAGAATATATGCGCAATTTGTAGAAAAAAAAACATGATTAGAATAATACATGACATGAAGAAGTGATCGACGAAACTTTATATATATATTGGTGGTGTCTTTTAAATGTGCAACAAGGTTTCAATATTTTTTTATCAAGAGCGCTAACCGGGGGTAGATAAATAATGTTTCCACATCTCTCACTTTTTATACAATAGGTAGACAATATTTTAAAGAAAATCTATGCTTCTTAAAAACCCTTACAATTAAAAAAATAAAGGTTCCAGTAAATGTTCTACTAAGCCTATTTCTTTATTCCTCACCAAAATATTAACAGCAGTGAAGGAGAAACATTAGGGGTACTTTACAACAATATATTCGAGAATTGATGTTAACTAGGCTTGGATACTTAAAGACTCCAAAGAACTTTTTAAAAAAAAAATTGACATCACAAACTTTTACCAAAATCTATAACATAAAATCGTATTTTTCATTACTTTATACAACCATTCCCCATGATAAATTAAATTCCAGGCTTTTTTGACATCAAAGCTGCTTTTTTTTTATATATATATAAAAACGGGACTCTTAAATTTACTTATCTTGTCAATTAATTCATTGCAAAATTATTTCGTTAAGGTCAAGATCTAGTAAATGAAAGGTGCCTACAGATTTTTCAAATTTGAGAAGCGAGTTCTTTTAGTGATCCTTTTCAAATATAGCTTGGTAAAATAAGGTGTATCGGAACATAATTTTTACGTAAACTCAATCAAAAACATGTTATAAACTATCATTTTCAATGAAAAATGAAGAAAGTCAGGTATAAATTTTGGAGTTTTTTCCATCTCAGAAAAAAGAAATGTATCAATATTGCCCACAGTTTCTCAGAAAACGGTTTTCAGTATCTTCCTGGCCTCTTCTTTAAAATAATATCTAATTGAATATAGGTATCGGGGCTTCTTTTGACACGATTTCAAATTGAATACCATGAAAATGCTTCATTTTATACAAAATTCTATTATAAAGTACGGGAAAAATTAAGTCTAAACCAATTATGACGTCATAATGGAACCAGCTTCAAAAAGACAGCCTAAACTCATTTACTAGATCTTGACCTTAACGTAGGTCGCGGGTTTGCTGACGTCGTTAAAACTGGGTACGCAATTTATATGATTTTGGCGATTTTCTTGTGCACATTTGATTATGACGTCACAATGAAAAAGAAATCTGCGATGATTTTTGTTTCATTAAATTCTTCAGTATATCATTATTTAGCTATAACTTTTCTTGGAATTGGTAGTTTAGTGTTATATTATTTAAGCAACAACTTATCACAAATAATGAAGGCTTTTTACGATTTATATAGTCGATACAATACTCAGATATAACTTTTGTTGGAATTGGTAATTTAGTAAAGATGGCTTATTACGATTCGAATGATCGACACTGGAAGTATTAAAAAATGTAATTATTTGTTATCAATCGCATCCTCTCGGACCTTTCCTGCAAGCTTGGAAAAACAAGTGGTTGTTTTTCGGCTTGACGGAAAGGCCCGAGAAATTGCGATTGATTTGTTTTCACTTGGTGTCGCGAAACGATATGGACACAAGGTTCAACTGACCTTTTTTCCTTTGATCGTATTTGAATTAACAGTTTGTTTTATTAATAAAGAAGCCTTTTTTTTTAAATTGCAAATACACCTGTTACATCAAAAGATCAAACTTTATTTATAAAAAGGATATTTTTTTAAATATATAGATCTGCAAGTTTATCATAAATTAACTACTGCTAAGGTACGATGAAACATAAAGACATTTTTTTAGTGACACTGACCTCCTGTTAGGGGACAACTATTTGATTTTGAGTGAGAGGGGGGTGGCAAATTTTACCGGGTCAGATTGTTTATTTTCCAAAAAAAAAAAAAAAACAAGGACAGATTATTTATATCTTCTTCACTGAAAAAAAGTCTGACAAGCAAAAAAAAAATCAAAGTAGAAAACTCCCGCCGGGGGGGGGGGGGGGGGGGGGCTAGAACTAGCCATGGACAGATTATTTATTTTCTTGCCCAGTCTAGGACAGATTATTTCTTTTTAACATTATCGAGGACAGATTGTTTATTTCCAAAATCTGCAAGCCCCCCCCCCCCACCACCACCACCAACCCCACCCCCACCCCGAATGAAATGATCGTCCCCTAAGCAACAGCTTGCAATGCTGTTATCTACAGATTTTATTCGCTACTTTCCTTTCCATGTCCAGCAAGTAGAATTAATGTTCTTAAAAAACTGGCTGTTAATTAGGTCAGATAAAATAATTTTTTTAATTCTCGTCCCATTTACTCCTCTGAAAATGTGGTATGTATATTTTGTTTAAATATATACTGAAAATATATTGTATTTAGCCGGGACGATATTTGGCAGAAATTCGTAGATTTGAGCGCCTTGCTGAATGGTCTAAATCAAAACATTTTATATACTTGAATTACTTGAATTAGATGATACCGTTTTCCGCCGAAAAATACACAGCCAAATGTAAGGATAAGTCTAATCTACGAAAAAAGCAAAATAAAACAACACATAAAGAAAGTAAATTGGAAGAAAGAAACTAAAGGATCGATTGTTGTTTTACGTCCCTTGCGAGAATTTCCACTAATATAAGACGAACAAAAAAATATACTGAAGAGAAACATGTCTAATAATCATTTCATTGATATTGAATTATTATGATACGATTCACGGGTCACTTGAAAGCAGATAGACGTGAATTTCTTTTTTATAAAAATTATTTTATCTAATTTTTCTGCACTGAATACCGGATAGATATTCACGACGTCAAGCATGACATCGCGATATTTTATGACGTCGTATTTAAAAATGTTACATTTTGCGATATAAAAGCACTTATTCACATTTAAATTACGCGAAAACTAACACGAAGACATATTAATTTTTTCACATTGATTTATTTCAAATCAATTATTTGGTAAAATACCAAAGGGGAAACAATTTTGTCTGCACCATTTAAAAGTTATTGATATTTTTAAAAACAAAATCTTGCCTCAAAACGAGTCTAAAACGATGTTTTTCTTATATAATTCAATAGAATAACGTCAAAAATGTAACGACAACTGTTGAGTCACGTTTTGTCCGCCGTCACATTATGTCCGCCGTCACGAAATGTCCGCCTTTTTTCCAAAAAAATCGTCACACTATGTCCGCCGCCACGAAATGTCCGCCTTTCGTCTGAAAAAATCGTCACACTATGTCCGCCCTTACAAAACGTCCGTCCAAGATTGAAAATAACGTTATATTTTATTATTATCATTTCTGTGAATCCCCCTAATATCCAGCCTTTTTCTTGATATGTCTTTTCGCGCAATAAAATATAAGTTGCTTTAACCACACTTGTAATAATGTCTGCCTTCAGAAATATCCGCCAATTTTATAAACGAATAAAAAACAACTTTTCTTATACCGTATATTGTTATTATGTACACAATCTCGTGTGGATACTGAAAATAGGATATATTATTTCTATGTTTGCACAGGTGGATGTACAAGCTTTGATTATTTTTAAACAAAAAAATGCTTTCTTAGTTTGTTAGTACTAGTTTATGAATTAATATTGCAGCTGTTGCAGAAATATATAAGAACGTTTATTGTTTATATTTATTTATCCCATGTTTTCCCCTTTATCCCGTGGATATGACTCATTGGATAATTTGTTCATATTCCACAGTAGAGTGCAGTTGTGACGTCACAATGGTTTTTGCGTTAGCGTGATGAAGTAAAATAAAGTGGATTCCTATATAAAACAGTGTAAAACATTGGTTGTAAAGTATTAAACATGGGATAAAAAGAATCTCCCATGATTTGTAGTTGGATATGACTTTTATCCAACTCGTTGTGTGTTTTTATCCCCTCGCCAAGGCTCGGGGATAAAAAACACACAACTATCATATCCAACTACAAATCATGAGAGATACTATATATCTATATACTTTACTGACGCTGAACGGCATTCAATTTGGTTTTTTTTAAGAAACGAAGGAAAAAATACTCAGTGGATGTAAATATATAGGAGTTGTATTGAGCTCAAGTCGGTTTTTTTTTTTCAAAATACAATATATAGATACTACACCGGTGTATGAAAATTAAATTTTTTGTTTGTCTAAGAAAAAAATAATTATAACGGTTTATTTTATCTGGCTTGGCTACAAATGATTTCAATAAATGATTACGCATTAAAAAAAAAAAAAAATAAATAATTCATTGAACTATATTATTTTCGAACGATTAATGGATATTTGTTATTAAATTTTGCTAAATTATATATATGAGAATCCAATGGTATGTTGCTTGAAATATTTACAAATGTTGGATTTATTGTATCTTTTTTAAAATGACGTGTATATATACATTTCCTATGGGATTTTTTTTAAAAATATGATAAAATTTTAATTTCTCAAAAGACAGAATATAACGACATTTTTACTTCAGCAGACAAGGATAAAGCGCGTTTTACAATGTGCCAAGCATTTTCCCGCCAAAAAGAAGAAACGCAGTAGCGGATCTAATGGGGTTGTGGGGGTTTCAACATCCTCCTTTGGATATATTAGATAGAGAGAGAGAGAGAGAGAGATCCCAAATATTTGTTGTGTTTTACTAAAGTAAATCTTCCGTGAAATGCTATTTATAATTATGCATGAAGAAAAATCGGTTATTGAAATAAAATCCGCGCCTGCAATGTCGCATGCAGTTTTATGTCACTGGGATGTATTTATAGATTAATATATGATAACTTTTATTAATAACAGATCAAGCAATTTCAGTTTGTTGCCTAATAAAAGGAACAATTGGTCTGCGGCCGATTTTTGACGCTTGAGTCAATATGCTTCTTGTTTACCAGATTACAGGGTTTTGCCCAAGTTATGACAAGTCTATATAACAGGAGTTGTCTCGTACCTATCAATTGTACCGAAAATTCAGAGAAGTTTGATTAATACGAATACTATAAAAATGGTATTTTTACAGGTATTACGTGTATTTTTCATTTACTGAAAATTTCGGTAAAATTGATAGGTATGCCAACTGCGATGTTTCTACGTCTGTATTCAGAGGTATCTTTTCGAATAATTGAATGGCCCTTAAAAGGGCCGTTTATTTCCTACTAATAGGAGCGACTCTTGACTGCTTTGCTTATTGAAAGCATGAAGAGGACCATTCCCGCCTCGTTGAAGTGTGTTTCATCGGGAAGGTAATGTCTGGGTAATTTG